CCTCTATGAGGTGGATTGATTCAGTGACTGGGACAATTGGGATGGGAGTGTCAGAGACGGTGCGATTGGCACAGGACAGAGCGGAGTTTAGAGCTGTTGTACATAGGGTCACTATGAGTCGCAAGCGACTCGACGGCACATAACAATAACAACAACATATATATATATATGTATATACCACCCAAGCAGATATATGCACACCCATATTTTTCTCAGCTTTGTTCACAATAGCAAAGAGTTGGAAACAACCTAAGTGCACATAACAAATGAATGGATGGAGAAACTGTGGTATATTCACACAATGGAATACTATGCTGCATTGAAAAATGAGGACCTCATGAAATATTATTTTTTTAAAAATGAGTGACCCTAGAGGACATTATGCTGGGTGAAATATCTCAGTCACAAAAGGACAAATACTGCATAGTGCCACTGTTGTAAAATGGGAGACTGCGAAAGATGGGATAAATAATGTATACTGCATTGAAACAGATGAGGGAGAGAACTGTTTAAAAGGGGTATATGATGAAGTATTATTGTCATGACAGGAGTCCAAAACAAAAGCTGCATAGTGGAGTGGACTTTGCGGGGAGGGATTGTATAACAATGAAATAATTTTTCTTTTACTTTTCAAAGATAAGAAGGAACTGGGAGAGAGGTTGGGCCGGGAGAAAAGTGCAACAGTGAATGAAGGGAAATCCAAAGTCTCTGTAAACTTTCATTTAAATTATTTTTTTAAAAAAGAATGCTTATATTTGAACACAAAGCAACATTTAGTGTTGTTATCTTACTAAAAATATATGTGTGTGTTTACTATTAACTTACACCTCATTGTAAGATTACAAAAATAGTGTGTTATTAGGAATAAGGAATGAAATTTATCAAGAATGATATAAAAATGGAGAGTTGGCAAGAAAGATCCATTGGTTATAAATGAATAAGGATTATGTATACTGGATTGAAACAGATGAGGGAGAGAACCATTTAAAAGCGATATATTATAGGGTTGTTGTTGTTGTTGTTATGTGCCATCGAGTCGTTTCCGACTCATAGCGACCCTATGCACAACAGCTCTAAACGCTGCTCTATCCTGCGCCAACCGC